CTATGCTACACGATTCGCTTAAAAAAACTCGCGCCACTTTGTCATCCAATCAGGAGTAGAACCAAATCCAATCATGCGTGGTTCACACTTGTTTTCCCGCTCTTTGCGTCGACTACACTTGTCTGGTTACACGTTTTGATTGGTCCCCTGGATTGTCTGGGGCAATTTTCAATTTGTAAATCTGTAAACAGTGAACCAATCAAAATTCGAAGTAATAACATGTAGCTGACGCAAAGCGCGAGAAAATGTGTGCGACCGCGTTTGGTTTTACTTCTGATTGGATGAAAAAGTGGCGCGATTTTTTTACCAATCGTTCAGAAGTTGCAGGACTGTGTCAAGCACACTTGAAAAGTAACAAACATACCTGTCTTCGCCGCCTGTTTTGCTCCTCCCTCTCAGATTCCGCCAAGGCTCGTGCTAAAGCCCGGTCTTCATCTTCTTGTGTTGTTTGTGGTGGACTGGGAGGCTTCACCTTTGACTGATCCTGTAAAGAGGCTTGTATTGCTAGTGCCAGGGCTTCATCCTCACTCTATAAACAATGATATTTCAGCTTGTAAAATCTACAACAACATCACTTATTAGGCCCTGCCAACACTACGTCGGAGAAATCTGAAAACAGTGTTTTCACTCTAAAAACGCATCAAATCTTTTCCGTCCACACAACGCCGGCCTGAGAAATTTGAAAACGCAACAATTACCGGTCATTTTGGATTTGTGTTTTAGGAAAACTCGATCGGTGCAAGGAAATCACATAATTAACTTATCGTGACGCCATCATTTTCAAAAAGCTTCGTTTTCAAAATGTTCTCCGTCCACACGAAAACGAAAAGCTGGCGTTTTCAAACTCCTCCGGTTTGAAGAGCGTTTTCGAAAAGCTCTGTTTTCGTTACAGATTAGTGAGGACGGTAGGCCTAACCGTAGAAATAAAGCTACGTTTTCAAATTCCTCCGGTGTAGTGTGGACGCCCGGTGTGGACGGGCCTTAGTCTTGGGTTGACTGAGTATAGTCATGGTATTTACCATTGCTGGTTGTGGAATGGGTTGATGACTTTGTGGCTGTTCTTGCCTTTCTCGTCTTGATCTGCAAGTCACGCAAATACAGTTGCCAGTATCCAAATAGAAACTGATTAGTTGTCAATTGAAAAGATCTCAGCTTCACTCTTCCTGACGCCATCTTATTTGGGGGGCAAACACGGCAAAAATTACAGTAAAAAGGTATGGGGAAAATGGAGAATCTAATGTCTAACAACTCACGTAAAATTCGAATCTATGAATTAAAAACTAAAGACACTAGGTTAAAGAATTTTTTCAGTCGCATCTGAGGGGAATAACCTCGCTAGAAACGCCACAATTAAAGTTTTCATTTGTCCGTACATATGCCTGTAAAATTCGCAGGAAAATTTTGAGACATTTGACAGGGGCGGATCCAGGGGTAAGGGGTAGGGGGTGCGCACCCCTCCTTGGGATGAAGCCTTCTTCTTTGTATTCACTTTTAAAATTTGTTTACCTCACCAGTCAGTTATGCTATTTCTTAGAGGACCCTTAGAGGTGCACCCCTGCTAAGAAAAATCCTGGATCCACCCCTGTTTGATGTATGAGAAATTAAAAGTACAAATCTATGTTCTTCAAACTTGACCAAAAAATAACTTTCTGTTGGGTAACTTTCCCTTGTAACTCATAAAATACTCTGAAACTCGATCACTGTCAACGTTTTTTGGGTACAATGAATTAAAATAACGTCCATGGTACTAAAAAATACTAAGAGATTATGTGTACATCAGAATAAATAACTTAAGGTGTTTCCTAGTGTGTACCTGTCTAAATCTCTGCCCATCAATGACAAGGATGTTTGTTGTGGTTTCTTTGATACTTTTGACAATGAATTTACATTCTTTGCTCTGGCAGCTGCAGCCTCCCTTTGGAGGGTGAATAAAACAAACAGAGAAGTTAGGTATAATGCTGGCGTTTGGTAGGTTGGAAAAAAATAATTGCCAGAAATATCTAGCACATACCCTGCCTAGTTCCTGAAATACTGTCAACTATCTTTAACTTACTTGCAATCTCTGTTCCATAAAAATATCAATCTGTTCTCACTCCCTCTCTGTCAATAACCCAGTACAATACACAGGTCTGCAAGGCGTGCATGTTTGCATGACATAACTCTCACTAGAATCCCAGCTGTCTACACATGCCTGAGTTGCTGAATTCTGGACTACTGATCCACGTTATAATTTAAAGACTTCTCCATTTCAGAACAAGATTTATAAATCTCCTATGCAGTTTCCAAAATTTTCTCAAAATGTATTTTCAATTGTGTGAGCTGAGAAGCAACATACATTTATG